TTGTGAGAGTGAGGGTCCATGATTTTCACTAAGCATGGTCAATGGAAGGGGTTTTGATCCGGGTGGTATAAGAGGGAGTATGAAATATTTGTGTAACTCCACAGTTATTCCTTGCTTATTTGTGAACAAAGAGAAGTCTAAATTATATTCACAATTGCTGAAGATTTCATAGATATCTTTGTCCTTCTCCACCCTTTGTGTTTCATTTAGAGCCTCAGGAAATGGTGGCATGATCTCAGGAATGGCCGATGGTTGAGTTGAGTTTTGAGGTTCCTCCTCCGGTTGAGCTTTCTCCGTATGCTCCTCTTCATCCTCCTCCTCGCTCATGTGGTTCACAATGCTTGGCATTTGTTGCGGGCATTGTGACATATTTTGTTGCATATTTTCCACATTAATAGTGAGAGCACGGATCATGTCTTCAGTGGACATGCTGGAATAAGAAATTGGGTATGGGTTATATGTGTTGGAGAATGAATCATACCTCTCTTGGAAACCAACATCATTCCTTTGTTCAAAGTATTCTTTTTGAAGTTCTGGGCAAAAATCCGTAAGATGCCTTTGTGACATGCAAATGTTGCATGTATGGACATCTTGAGATTTTGAACATGAAATAAACTCCTTTATTAGAAAAGTCAAGTCGGAAATTTGACTCTCTAGGGATGATATGTTGGTATCCATATACTCATGAAAGCTCAGAAAATGGACAAGTAAGATTTTTATTTATATTTTTTTGTTTTTATTTTTCATTTTGTTTTTGATTTTTATGAGATAAAATAAAAAGAAAAACAATTGCCTTTCCCCGGCAACGGCGCCAAATTTGACGTGCACTTTGTCGTGCACTTTGTCGTGAGTGCACTCAAAATAAATTCAATACTAACACTTATACGTAGTATAGCGTAGTAGAGTTCGTATCCACAGGGAAAGGAATAATTCTCTTTTTATAGAACTAGTAAATAAAAAGGGGGGGTTTAGGATTGAATGATTTAATTTAATTAAACAGAAAGATGAACAACTTAAATGTGATTTAATTCAAAGATAAAAAGGACTTGACATTGCTACTTTCCACTTGTTGATATATTTTAGTCGATCATTGTTATATCTATAACTTATCCCCTCTCGAATACTCAATCGAGGAGTATATCCAATTCATCGAGGGTAGTTATTAACAACGACCATTCATTAATAACCTCAACACAACGGTTTTGGTTTAACCAACAAAATTAATCCCTCTTAAGTTTATTAACCACGACCGTGCATTAATAAACCGAAGTTACTTACTTGTGAAACCATCAACGATTAACCATCGGTTCGTTGAACGTTTCTAGTAGTAATTAATGTCGAGATGTTAACTAATTGTCATCTTAGCAACACTCCCCAACATTAACATAGAGATAGATTAAGGGAAGAATTAATATTCAAGGAAGAAGATTAAATATGAATAATCCTAATATAACTAATGTCAAGATGTTATCTAATTGTCATCTTAGTAACACTCCCCAACATTAATATATAGAGGAAGAAAATAAATACTACTATAACTAATGTCGAGATGTTAACTAATTGTCATCTTAGCAACACTCCCCAACATTAATATATAGATAGATTAAGAGAATAATTAATATTCAAGGGAAGAAGTTAAGAAAATAACTCACAACTTTAATAATCAACAAGCTTCAAGAGCAACACCAAGAAATGGAAGTTTAGCTCCTCATTTGGAGACTAAACATACTATAAAAATATAAAAGAAATACTATTCTAAACTGAGCTTAAGAGTATGGAAGAAGGGATTTTTCATTGTGAAGGAAAGGGGGTGTATTTATAGGCTTTTTGGGAGTGCAGCTCGGGTACTCGATCGAGTATATACAGATACTCGGTCGAGTATATACAGATACTCGGTCGAGTATGTGTAGAAACTCGAATTCGAGGTATACTCGATCGATTTTGGCTTAAAAATCAAAGGTGTACTCGATCGAGTATATATTCATACTCGGTCGAGTATGTGTAGAAAGTGATATTCGAGCCATACTCGACCGATTTCGGGTTTAAACTCAAAGGCATACTCGATCGGGTATGTCGGTCTACCCGATCGAGTATAGACACTGAATCGTGGTCAAATTCTTCCTGGCATGTTCCTTTGTCTTCGGATCTGATCCGATTTGAAGTTTCAACCTTATACCCGATCGAGTATGGGTAATACTCGACCGAGTATAGACCAAAATCAGGATTTTCCCCTTTTGTCTTGTGATTTGCACCTTCCTTCCACTTTTGGGGCTCACCAACTATCCTTTGAGTGATAGTTGACCTGTTTGAGCTCAGAATAAATCTAATCTAAACAATTTCCAAGAATTTAACAAACTATACTATTACACCAAAAGTGTGTAATTTCCGAAATATTAAACAACCAAAACTAGCTAAAAACATAAACATACACACGGAAATTACAAGCGTATCACGTCTCATGGTTAATAATCTAATGGGAATTACTTATATTGATTAAACCAATAAACCACTTGTGTTGAGGTTATCAATCACAATCATTTTCATCTTAAGTTTATTGCTACTATCGGGTTAATATACGACGCGTGTTCTATATTGACTCGGTAGTAAGTTTTATTAATGAACATGTCTCGTTATTAATAACTACCCTCGATGAATTGGATATACTCCTCGATTGAGTATTCGAGAGGTAGATAGTTAAAGATATAACCGGGATCGACGGACATCTCATTAAGTGGATAAAAGCAAAATCAAGTCCTCATCTCTATTAATTAAACTCATATAAGTTGTTCATCTTCGTATTTAATTAATTAAATCAAATCAAACTTTAAACCCCTCTTGTTACTAGTTACATAAAAAGAGAAGTATTCCTTTCCTTGTGGATACGAACCTTACTTCAATATACTACGTATAATTGTTGTATTAATAATTATTTTGAGTGCACACCACGACAAAGTGCACGTCAGTTGGAAATGAATCGTGTGCTTGAGGATGACCCCTGGCTGTTTGAACGTGATCTAATTCTTTTGAAAGCTGTTCAGCCAGATGATATATACCTGAGACAATGAATTTGTTTGAGGCTGAATTTTGGGTACAGGTTCACAATGTACCTTTTAAATTTAGAAAGTTGGGATCTGTCAGGGAAGATTGGGAATTTCTTAGGCTCTTTTATGAAGTTTGATAAGAGCCAATTCGAAGGCAAGCAGAAATCTTATCTGCGTATTGAAATTTGTATGGATGTGCGGAAACCTTTAAAAAAGGGTACTATCTTAACAAAAGATGGGGCTGGACATTGGGTGGATTTTAAGTATGAGAAGCTACCCAATTTATGTTTCATGTGTGGGATAATTGGGCATTCTGATAAATTATGTCCATTGAAGTATGAAGAGGGGTTTGTACTAGAGAAATCCTTTGGGGTGGAGCTCAGAGCTGGAGGAAGGGTGAAGACCAGTCCTACAGGACCTAATAAGTGGTTAGTTAATGAATCTTCTAGTTCTGAGGGGTACGGACAATAGCGGAAGACTGATCTTGGGGGCGAGTACTCGGCAGAATCAGGTGCTAGTGCATCCCAGCAAGATAGGTCGGCTGGCAAGGAAGAAGAAACCCCGGGTGAGACGAAACGCAGAAGAATATGGGAAAGTCAGGCCCAAGGAGGTATAGCCGGCGAAGGGATGACACTAGATGGGCCAAAAAATGGGTAGGCGGCGGGTCAATTTCCCTAGGCCCGCCGAACGTTCATATGGCTGTGATGATCAAGAAGACGGATGTTGGTTTTATTTTTATTGTTTGTTTTCTTCATGGTTGGATTGTTCTGCTTTACTTTCATTATTTTATGTTATGTAAGACTCTTGTATTAGGTTTGAGGGATGAGAGGTCTGCGTCAATCGTCATTGGCTTTAAGTTGCCCAATTTAGGTCTAGCGAGTTATATTGCTTTATTAAATGTGATTAACTCTGAGTCTCGGCCAAGGGCGGATGATTACATGTGGTCCTTTTGTTGTCTTGTACCCCTGTTGAATGCTATTTTAAAAATATAAGCCCCTTGCGATAAAAAAAAACTAAAAACCAGAATCATTTGGGTGTGCTTTAAACCGTTTTTCACTTTTTCTATTATATCTTTTTTTACCAAATACTCCAACTTTTACTCTTTCAAAATCTTTTTCATATAATATCTAATATTAACCACTTCTCAATGTAGAAGTAAAAACAAAAACACTGGGGGCGACGGATGCGGCGCAGGTGATATTGGGGGGGGGAGGCGGGGAGCTGGCGTTCATCCCCCGGGAGCTGAGGGTGGGGGCGGGGGAGACGATCGAGTTCAAGAACGGGAAGGCGTTCCCGCACAACGTGGTGTTCGAGGAGGATGAGGTGCCAAGCGGGGTGGACGCTTCGAAGATCTCGATGAGCGAGGAGGATCTGTTGAACGGGCCCAGGGATACCTTCAAGGTCACCTTGACGGAGAAGGGCACTTATTCCTACTACTGTTCGCCTCATCAGGGAGCCGGAATGGTTGGCAAGATCATCGTTGAATGATCCATCCATCCACATATGCTTGCTTGCTCGCTTGCTACTTCATTATGAAATACTCAGTTTGCACTGCTTCCCTCCTTGTTCTAAATTAATAATTAATGTCTCTAGATCCACAATGGATTGACTATTTTCTCATATCATATATCAATGCATCTCCATCTGTCCCTAAAAAAAAACACATACCTTCACTGGTTTGCAAAAGCAGTTTATTCTCATCTAACTTATTTGTTGGACACAACCACTGATATTTGTACTTCAAATCACTACACATTAACAAACATAATGCATTGTCTTAGAAAAGCTAAACATGCCTAAACAATACTACCCAAACTAAACTTACTACCCAACATTAATTGAATTCTCAAGCAGTGAGAAAGAGAAGTGAATTGATGAGACGCTGCATCAAAGTTTAAATCTTTGAATGCCTATGCATGACAGCATGAGTAATACACCAGCACCATACGGTCCATACCAAACATTTATGAAGTGAAGTGAAATGTTCTCCAACACTTCATCAAAATATCAACATACAGATACACTACCAGTCTACTACTTCACTACATCAAACTTCAATTGCGAATTCAAATTATAACCCATTCACAATTCACAAACATGATAACACCTAAATTATATATATGCACTCCCCTCATCCCTTCAAGGACATTTGATAAAATTGGAACGATACAGAGAAGATAAGCATGAACGGATGACACAAACAAATCAAGAAATAGTTCTTGTATATCCTGGTTTTGTGGTGTCCATTTTCATTTTACGATGACAACAATGTGAACATAGAATGCAAACAAATGAATGAGTACTAGCCACGCCATTGATGTTTATGATGCCTTCTCCATCCGGGACATTTTTTATGGCTCTTTAAGTGCCTTTGCTGTCCCAGTTTAGCTAGCTCACCATAGCTGCTGCCTAGCATTTCCTCTTCTCAGACTTGCTGAAGTTCGGCTGGTTAGATTAAGAAAGTAACTAGATTGAAGTCATATCAAGATTTTGATTTAAGCCATTCAATCTTCATGTTTGATTTTGTAGCCCACAAATGATAGTCATCCTCATGAGTCAGTACCATAATCCCACAAAGCTCCAAACAGTTGAGCTAGGGAGCAGATCAGTTTAAAGTATGTAGTAGATAATACACACGATCAGACTTAAAACATTAGTCTGTATACCATAAGTCCCCATACAGCAGTCGTAGTTCCTATAATCTTAAAACATGACAATTAACTGGAACCATAAAGGAATTCAAAATAATGATAAATACAAACAGAAATGATGAAATCAGCCCCCCTTTACAATGTGGTTTTATTAGCAGACTCGCCATGGCCGGCCGAAGTAGATCGTCTAATAGAGTCAATCCTCTGCAGCCTGATCTGCTCTCTAAATCTAGCTATAAACTCATCAGCTTTCTTATCAACATCTGGTGCTTCTTCATCCCCACTGTTATCAGTATCACTATTGTTATTATCATCACCGCAATTCTCTCCGACACCATGATCATCCTCTTCAATTCTTGAAGAAACAACAGCTTCTTGCTCTTCTTCTTCTGCAATTTCTTCATTATTAACATAAATTTCTTGGGTTTTCCTCACTGAATATGATCTTCTTGGAGGTTCCTCTTTCTTGACCTCAGTTGAGTTGGATTTCATGGATGAAGACTTAGGAGGAGGAGGAGGAGGAGGAGGAGGGGGAATCTTCTTCTTTCTAGCTATCTCCTCATCAGTAGATTGGGGAGGAGAAGGTTTAAGCTTGTTTGGAGAAGGAGAGGAGGATCTTGTCAATGATTGCGACCTAAAAGATCTTGTCTGTTCTGGCTGCTTATTAAATTCTGGGCCCTCCATTGTTCTTCCAGCAGATCTTGACCTCCATGGCAAAGTCCGGCTCTTCATTTTTTCCCCATCATTTGTTTCCTGCAGAATCTCATCTTCTTCTTCTTCAACTCTTGATTTCAAGCTCCTAACAGGCAAAAGAAGCGGCTTTTCACTGATTCTTGCAGCTTTATCGTTCACCGCCATTACTACCCTTGGTTGACCTCTATGATACTGATTTCTCCAAGCCTGATCAATTATCTTATTGCTTCTGTCAATTTTTTCATCAAAAACGACAGAAGCCCCCTCAGATTCTTCTTCATCATCATCAAAAACTGAAGAAACCTGAAGCAATCCAGAGACATAGGAGTGGGCATTGTCAAGCGTGGTCTTTGTTGCTGTTGACCCATCGTTTTCTTTATCTGTTTCATCAGTTTTGCAGCTAAACAGGCCGTAAGAAACGGCTATGCCGACGCAGATGAGCTGGAGGACTTCCCAGATTTTGATGCCCAGAGTTTGGTTGAGGAACTCTGGAGCTTGTGAGGGGAAAAGATGGAGAAAAACGAGGAAAACTACAACAACTATGGGTTTGAACATGAAGTGTTTGTAGTACTTACTTGTTTGGTCGTCTGTTGTTTGTTTCGGAGGAACATCGGACGAGTCTGCCATTGGAGTAAGTGAAGAAGCTTTGGGGGGACCTTGAGTGTAACTATGATAGAAGGAAGAAGTCTTTGGAGCTAAGGAAAAAAGAGCAGTGATGAGGAAAGTTTTGGGGTGGATAGACGTTCTTGCCCTTTTCTTTTTTTGTCAATTTCCTTTTATTTTTGACTTTTTGTTTTGTCTATTTCTATTTCTATTATACGGAGTATGTTCTTGAAAAGGTCAAATATTGCATTATTATATACGAAGAATTTCACTTGTATCAAAATATTTGTCTAGTTTCCTTTTCGATTTGCATTAAATTAAGTGCCACATTTCTTCTTTGAAAAGAAATATACTTCAAAAATAATCAGAATACATTCTAATTTAATAAAGTATTCATTATTGTTGTAGTATAAAAAAATCACACTTTTCATAAAATATACTAGTACAATAATTCTATAATACTTTTCAAGTACGTGAAAAGTGAAAACTGGATGAGACAAATAAACAACTATATTGATACAAAGAGAACACATCATAATTAGCCTTTTTTCGTTAATATTACTAAATTAAACTCAAACGATAAAAATATCACGTATTTTAAAATTTTCCAAAAAGTTACATATTTTTGTCCAAAAACATTATAGTGATTAGTTCATAGTGACTCGTACACAATGATTAGTCATATTTTTGTCCAAAAACATAACTAGTCATATTTCTTAAACTCTATTAGTAATATATGTCATTTTTTCTAAGCATTATTGCATTTCCTATAAAGTTGATACATATTCGCTTTATTATTTTTACAAGGAATAATAAATAGATCTAATGCTTAATTCACACTTCATAGAAAATAGTGTGATGCTTAACCCATACGGTGTTATACGTATTCATAGTGTTGCCCTCTTTTCTAAAATAATGCCATCAATACATAAAGATATAACAATTCCATAAAGCATATGTTAGGGGTCAAGCATATTACATAATACATATAGTGTACAATTCATTTTAATGAATTATCTCTATTAAATTAAGTATGCAATTTGATGCTTCTAAAAAGCATGTTATTTGATGAATGGATGATAATTAAAGTAAGAAACACTAAAGTATATTGGGTCAAACCTCTATTCACCATAATTAATCGGAAAAATTGAAAATAATAATCCCAACTATTGTCGGTCCGCTGATAATAATCCTAACTATTGATTATTTTTGTATAATCCCAACTATATGGATTGTCCGGCAATAATGGTCCATGACCAGATATTACATCCTAAAAAAGTGAATTTTAAATAGAAATTTAAGTGTAAAAATTAAAATTTAGGATTATTTATAGGGATTACTTGCTATGAGCCCGTTTGGTAGCACCAAAATCGGCTGTTTTGGCTGATTCTGCTGAAATTTATGATACTCTGGCTGGAGTGGCTGTTTTGGCTGATTCTGCTGATTTAAGAAAAAAAAAATTTAAAAATATATTTTATTAATAAATTAAAGAAAAAATTATATGTAAAAATAGCTAAAATGGTCCTCTACAGTAACTTCAGCCAATACAGCCAGAAAAGTAACTCCAACCTTACTTTTTCGGCTTATTACACAATTCAGCGCGCGAAAGTAAAAGTTACGTGTTTGGTGAAAAAGCTGGCTGATAAGCCTGATAAGCCGAAAACAGAGTTCTCCAAACGGGCTCTATATCTCTCTTCATCCACTTTAGAAACTACAAGAATTTATTTATGGGGATCATTATTGGCGGAAGGTCCCAAAAGTTGGGATTATTCTGAAATAATCGATAGTTGAGATTATTAGAAGCGGACTGCCAATAGTTGAGATTATTACAATCAATTTTTCTTAATTAATAATAGTGTGTCGTTGTACAAGCAATTTGTATGATTTTTCTTTGTTTATATAGAAAATATTTTTACCTACACCGTCAATATTTTACCTACCTTTTGATCATATTTGATGTTGTTACCGATATAAAAGCATACAAATGAAATCTTGTATATGGAATAAAAATGTTCTCAATATTAAAAAGGTACAAATAAACTACACAAATTGAATATACAAATAACATTTCTCTTCAACTATACAAAAGAATTAGGAGTATCAAATTTCTAAAGTAACCTAGGCATTTTCCCCTTTTTCTTGCAAAAAGGAATCTTAAATCACTCATAAATAAATAAATAAGGAATAAAGATGATTAAAATAAATAAATAAATAAATAAATAAATAAGGAATAAAGTTTGGGGATGAGGGGCAAATTCGGAAGGCAAACTAGGGTAGCAATTTGTGTTGTGAGGGATGATTTGGCCAGGGATTCTGCTTTCGGCATACGTACGCTAGTCTTTTGTGGGCCCGGATTCTAATTATTTAAAAAACAAATAGATACTCAAATTGTCCTTGCGACTTTAGTTGGAGGCAATGCTTTTCTTTCTCCAATCTTCTCCCTCTGTATTCTATCTTCTGAAGGACCACACAAGAATACAAGATTTATGCATTAATTATTTAATATTATCCCTTTTTGGATGGTAAAAATCATAGAACCATAGTATGACTTCTTATTTTGTTAGCCTCTAAAAAGAAACTCAACAAAAAGTACATTAAGAAGATAGTGGTGGTGCATACCTTAACTGGTAGATAAAAGTGCCTTAAGAAGTAAATATGTTTTTAACTGCAATATTTTTAGTCTCAGACCAAATCAGACAAGACAGATTATTCCAGTCCAAGTACAAAATATCATGGGTCTCGAATCCAAATTACTATATAAAAATGCATATGGTTTCTGCAAGTATCTAGACTGGAAGCTCACTTGCTATCTACCGGCCTTTGCTTAGAATCCAATATACATTCTCTCAATTAATTGTCTAGACGGTGCCAGAGCTCCTTAGAGATGACATGTTATCCTTTTTTAAATAAAATCTTTTTTGAATAAAATCGTTCATTTTTAATGAGGTAGACTTAAATTATTTATTTTACGGTTTATTCGTGTTGTTTTTTACTCTTTCATATAAAATAAATGAATGTAATTCTAAGTTCTTAGACGGTCAACGAATTCAAATTCCAATTATGAAAATTTGGTAGTATTTGTGTTAGAATGTTTTTACCTGGACTTTAATTTGCTGGTCTGGTCTGGTCAGGTCTGATTTCTTTGTATTTTTTAGAACTATCCAAGTCTAGTCTAGTTTGGTCTGATATGGGACGAATTACAGTCCAAGTAAAAACATCCTTAAAATCAATCACAATTTCAATGACATAATCTATTGAGGCTTGTTTAAGAGGATTGGTGGAAGCGTATATGAACAACCGGCTGTACGGTGTCAGCTGTATAGCTGGTGGCAGTTTTGTAATTCTGGTGAAAAATATGGCCTCTCTTGAATGAGCATTAATGCAATTTTGATGAGTATCAAGCCTGTTCTTTTGAGTATTAACAACCTAAGAATGAGCATCAGACATATTTTGTTGAGTATTACAAACCTAACAATGAGCATCGTGGTCTATGCTTCATATCTTTTAATCCACTTTCTTTTTCTTATTTTTTTATAATAACTTCTTAAATTAAATCTATAATCAACACATATGTACTTGAATATGTGAATCTAACGTAATATTGGGCTTGTTTGGCAATCGGCGGTTAGCGGTTAGCAGTTAGCGAATTGAGTCAGCAGGTTCTGAATAGCGGATTGAGTTAGCGGGTTTGACCGGCGGATCAATTTGGCGAATTACAGAAAGATGTTTGGTAAATTAACTATTTGTTTTTAGCGGTTAATAGATAAAAAGATAAAAAAAGACATTACCATATTTTAATATTTCTTTCTTTGTGGTTTAATATGATGTTATAAGAAATAACAACAAATACGAACAATAATAATTAACACAAATAATAAACAAATGCTCCGTACCAATAATTAGCACCATGTATTCATGTAAGCTGTAAGCACATCCTTGTATTCAAAAATTCAGATACAATAAACAAAAAATACTCCGTATATTAGATCAATAGTAGTCTTGAGATATGCCTAAAACGTCACATCAAATGGTTTGTATATAAATATATACACAAATAACCCACATAATGAAGTATTAAGAAAGCACTAAATTAAAACACCCATATAATAAGAATATATAATGGCCGACATACATAAGAAAATACGAATCTATATATGTCGAGATATGTATATGCAGTGTTCTAAAACGCGCCAAAAGGCGCCGCTTAAGCGGGCCTAGGCGTGAGGCGCGAAGCAAACGCCCCGCCTGCCAATAACGCGTGACAATAGGCGGTCAACTGTGCAGTTGACCAATTCGGCATTCATAAGCGCCCGCCTTTTGATATCAAATTTGATCACGCGAGAGTGGGATGGGCAAGTCTTCACCGGTGATGCTATGCTTTATTTATAACTAAACGGGATAAGAATATGGATGTAGTTCCGGTGTGGGACTTTTGTTCGATGTAGTGGAATGCGAATGCCATACACATTTACGTTTTTATATTGGAGTGAAAAATCATTCGGTGTGGGACATTTTTACTAGTATATGGTGTAATAAGAAATCCCTCTATTTCAATACTCCGTACTATTTTATTGTTGGTGGAATTCATGTTATATTGTTATTATTAATGTATTTTACTGTTATCATGATCATTTATCAACCTTCTTACCGTTGTTATTCCTAATACGTTTTTTTCTAAAATATTATGGTAATGAAATTTAAGAATGAAAAATATGTGTAAAAGTAATTGTGAATATATTCTTCTATTCACTGTAATGAAAAGTTTGAATGTGATTATAGTCACTAAAAATTACTAAATCACATTTTTATTTATTACCCTTATTTTTGGTCATATACTAAGTATTAGACATTTTTTATTTTTATTTATAATATTTTTATTATTATTAAACTACTTTATCAGTTCTATTTTTTGTGTAATTGTTGTGTAATTGGTAATTTTATACTCCATATTGTTTAGATATGGGGCAACAATTTTTTTTTTTGGTAAAAAATTTGAAAAGTATGATGTTTTTTAATAAAATTAATTAACATTAAATTTTAATATTTAAAATAGCTCTAGAAATATTAAAATG